TGATCCACACTTGCAAGCCAAGGCATTCCCAAAATAATGTCGAAGTTCGCGTCCAAAATGTCGAACGTCACCAGTTCGCATGCATAAGGTGCGAAATACACCGATACGGCCTCGATGTAGCGGTCGATAAGTTGCTGCGTCCTTTCGTCCGCCAACTTAATCGTCGTACGGTTTGCCTTCCTCCGAACTTGTGCGCCAAGGCCAGCCCTTTGCATAAAGGCTTGGGTCATGAAATTGCGAGGCGCGCCGCTATCCAGCAAAGAGTTGCAAGACGCTTGCCCAACTTGGATGCGGACATAGAGGAGCGGTGCGTTGTTGTCGTCGTACCGCTGCTTGCGAAACTCGCGGGCCACCTTGGTAACATTCGCGAGGATGTCCCCCACCGCAGCTTCGTCCTCCGTCGACGAAGTTGATGGTGCATAGAAGTATAGATACGTGTGAAGATGAGCGCATAATGTTGCGCATTGCGGTCCCGGCAAACAGCCCGTGGTCGAGAGAGGAAGCCATGTGAAATCCTCAAACGTGAGAGGGTCCAATACCTCTATGTTGAACTCGCACGCCAAATCCCGTGAAGAACCACTTGAAGACTAAGTTGTCGTTGTCGGACGGGGAAGATGCCGCACACACGTCTTGTCCTTGAGCATGAGTACCCAGCGTAGGAACGAGCCAGGCAGCATAGTCCTCATAAGAATATACAAGAGGAGGACTATCGACTTCTGCATGTGCCTCGGAACGAAGGGCGGTCACCCGCGAAGCGACCGGTTCCGAAGGCGTCGAGAATGTCATCGATTCACTCCGGCGGTGCTCAGTTTCCCGATTTGCCTCTGCCTTTCGACGGGCAGCCCACTGAGTCGTGGAGATCGTTGTTACGCCACAGACAATGGCGAAATCTCATGCATTGCTTGTATGCTTGCTCCGAGAGGCCGTAGTGGGTCCATGGGGCTGGAGCTGCCGCGCCGGGCCCGGGGATAGATGTGGTGTTTGTCTTTGGCTTGCCGCGTCCTCGGCCTCTGCTGGGGCGGCCACCATCCTAGGCGGCTGTGAGTCTGTCCCTTTCATTAGCAGACATGGCCTCGCTAGATTGGTAGAGGTTCTTAGCCTCCTTGTTCGTGACAATGATCTGCGCGGCCTTGTCGAAGAGCTCCGTCGTTGTCGTTAGGGTCTCCTCGACATGAGTCAAGGCGTTGCCCAACGCCGGACACGACCTCAAAATGAAGTAGTGTTTGACGGCCTTGAAGCCCATCTGAATGTCTGGGATGGATGTCAAGCGTTGGTACTCGGCAATCCAATCAACACTTTGCAACGTGCATTATTCGAAGGTCGTCAATTTGTCTATTGCCTTCATCTTCGACGGCTCTACCTGGAACCGCTTATGCCATGCCGCCTTTAGCTCATCCCAACTGATCTTGGTGTATAAGTCGGCAGCTACCACCCCGTACTTGGACAAGAGATTGTCCAACCATGCTTGGCACGCGCCCCCAGACCGGGAGTACTGTCCTCGCTGACGTGGTGTAGCTGCAACTTGAGCTCAAACTTGCGGAACCACTGAATCGGGTCCGTCTTCGTTGAATCGCAGAAGATCTTCTGACCATCGAACTTTGGAGTCGTCTCGCGCGATGTCGAACTTGGGTTGGCGATGGCAGCACAGATCCCTTGGTCCAATTGTTGCGTGGTGGTTTGCTGTAGCTGCGCGCTGTCCTTGAGGGCTCCCACGTCGATGTCCAATGCATTGAGGCGATCGGAGGTGTTAACAGTGACGGGTCGTTGCTGCAGCTTCTGGAGGCGTCTGTTGACTTGATCAAACACCCGTTTGTGCGTCTTAACCGCGTCGTCAAGGTTGTGGATGTCCTCCTGCTGTGCAATGCAAGTTGCCAAGAGAGCCGTGACATGGGAGAGGAGTAGACCGATCTTGCTTTCACTCTCTTCCATCTTAGCATTCTCGGCCTCGGCTCGCCAGTCCGCTGCCATTGTGAGCAGAGCTCGCTCTCCGTTGAATATCTTCTCACGTCATTGACTTCGTTCCTCATCGGCAGCCTTTGTTGCTGCCTTGTCTTGCTGGCGCTGCTGTTCGATTGCCAACAGACGTGCCTTCTCGGCGTCCTCTGCCTTCTTCTTTTCTGCGGCTGCTACCTCATCCGCCCGTTTCTTGGCTTTGGTAATCAAAGCCAGCATCCGGGCCCGATAGATCTTGGACGTTTCCCCGGACTTCTGATCCATGCCGGCTGTTTGTAAGCGCATGAGCATAGACCAGGACGGAGGGCTGCTGACGTGGCACTCCCTGCTGCTGATGTGGCACTGCTCGGCTGCTGACGTGGCACAGCTGTCGGCTGACATGTCCTGCTGACATGGTCTGCTGACATGGCCTGCTGACATGGTCTGCTGACGTGGCCTGCCTACGTCGCAACTCACCAATGCCGCCGCAGGGGGTACCCGGAGACAGATAGAGAAGACCAGAGGGAGAAACAACATAGGTGGGGAGGGGTGTGTTGATCGCTCAGATGGAGCCACTAATCGAAAAGAAAAGTTTGAACTTTGCAAAAAAAATTGAGAGAAAAGTACTCGTTTGCAAGTTCATTAGGCCTCCCAATTCCCCCTGAAGTGCGAAACTACCAATGAGGAAAAAATTTTCGAACTTTCAGACTACAAATGATTATCCGATAAAAGAATTCCAAAAAAAAATACAAAAAATATTCGGAATTAATTAGATGAGAGTACGCGCAGTTTGGAAAATGACAAGTGCGAGAGGGATTTCCCGTACCATTTTCAAAAACGAATTTCGGAAATTAAAAAAATATTTCGGATTTCCAAATAACAAGAAATTCCCAAAGGAAATCGAAATTTTTGAAAAAAAAAAATATTCCGGATTTCCAATAACGAAATTTTGAATTTTCAGAAAAACGAAAACGGAAATTTCAGGTGTTGCGCTATTGCGGTTTTCCACAACAGAAATAGCGGGAAAACAAAATCCAAGAAAAGAAAAGAAAAAAAATCATTTTTTGGCAGTTAGGTCAAAATCGCAATTCTGGGGGCTAATTAGTGCGCTCTAATCAATCAATCAATCAATCAAGACTAATCAACTAATTAGTCCCCGCACACGTGTCAGATCAGGTTGTCCTGATTCACGTGCGGTGCTCCCCGCACACGTGTCCGATCAGGTTGTCCTGATTCGCGTGAGGTGCTTCCCGCACACGTGTCAGATCAGGTTGTCCTGATTCACGTGTGGTGCTCCGATACCAACTGTTACATGCCCAGTTGGGCAATGTATATATATAGCCAAGGATCCGCAATGTGATAAAAGGGACTGGATGGACAATGCGGTGTTAGTGGAATCTCAACAAGCAATGTACATCCTGATACATACAAAATGGCACCTTATAGCGCAGTGGAAGACTTAGATATAAGCCCTGACCTCACCGGGACTGACCTCTCTCACGTAGTACAAGACAGCGCAGCGGAATGCTAGAATACCAATGACTAGCCCCATCAATGTCGCAATGCAGACCAAACATACATCATCCTCATCACAAGGTGTGAAGGGGGTCTGGCGCTACACACAGGAAGAATGCGCCAGGTCCAGACCATACACAGATGAAGAGGAGGGGATCAGACAAAGAAGAGGGGGTAGATGGGAATGTCGTCAACACCAAGTCTTCGGTACAAGTCCCACCCTCGTCAAATGTGTGAAGCCCAATGTCGAGTCTGAATCCAAATGCCAACAATCCCTCTCTCTCCTAGTCTGCTGATGCAGTGAAGTCAGGTAGCGGGAGGGTGAAGGGGAGATAGTGGACTGAGAAGAGGAAAAAGAAAAACTCTCTCTCTCTCTCTCTCTCTCTCTCTCTCTCTCTCTCTCTCTCTCTCTCTCTCTCTCTCNGAAAAACTCTCTCTCTCTCTCTCTCTCTCTCTCTCTCTCTCTCTCTCTCTCTCTCTCTCTCTCTCTCTCACACACACACACACACACACACACACACACACACACACATGCGCGTGTGTCCGCCCACTATGCACCACCAAAAATATGCGCGGGAAAAAGGCCAAACCACTGCGCCCAATAGGGGACGGGCCCGCCTGGAACCGGTTTCCCCCCGGGCCTGGCAGCCCTAATTTTTTCCATTGGGGTGCTAGATTTTAATCTGGGCCGTTGACCAACCTGGACGGGACCGTCGGCGCAGATCGTCATGAGATCTTAAAATCTTAAGATACCATGCGCCGATCCTGGTTGTGGCCCGATACGACCGTGGACAACCTGGATCGCCACGCGATCTTAAAATCTTAAGATTGTGCAACAATCCGGGCCTTCGCCGGTAGGACCGCAGACAGCTCAAATGCCAGATTTCTCACATTAGGGATTTCTACAAGTATTGGGAAAAACAAACAAAAAATAAAGGATGGCACCTGTCTAATTCAAAATATTCAACCACCAGTACGTTTCCAACTTTCCAGCCATTTTTTCGAAGTCGTGGCTTGCATGCTGGCACAACTTTCGGGGCTACGCGGCCAAAGCAAAATGGCTGGCAGCGCCAGCCGAACGAAGGCCCGCACCTGTAAGTTTTTTTCTGTGTGCACAGGGTGTTTCAAGCCCTGGAGAAAAGTGCCTCGGAAATACTGGTGGTTAAAAGACAATCTTTTTGTACCATGGCCGTAAATTCACCCCATTGGACCAGACAGGACCCCTAAATTCAAACTCAACTCACCTTTATGGGCATTTCGGCATACAATAGAGTACTCACCGCATTCCAAACAACACTGACAAGTCATTCCTCTCTGCCAACAGCAGAGACCAGCACCACTAAGCACAAAGCAGACAGCACAAACAGTACAAGAAAACGCGGAAGGACAGAGAACAGCGGGCAGAAACACTACCACATGGGACCGTAAGACCCATACAGCACAATGACTGCAATTGTGCTCATAACCGCACTCACGTTAACTTCGTACATTGAACAATTATGCAAAACAGCGAGTGAGGTAGAAGACAAGAGAGGAGCACACTGCACACTCACAAGGAATTCTGCCTGCGCCTTTTTCTCTTCAACACTCTCAAACAGCTGTCGAATCACCCTCGGAAGGATGCCAAGCTCTTCCTCTAAGACAGCAGTGTTGTTCCCGCTCCCCATTGTATGAGTTTTCCCAGACCCTGTCTGTCCATATGCGAGAACAGTAGCATTATACCTGCACATACCAACAAGCGCATAGGTACAGTCAACAGCCAGCTTAGACAGACATGTGCAAACCAGGTGACCTTTTCAGCACGGAAACACCAGTTATCCAGTATGACACCCTGTCCCAATCACAATGCCGAACACCGCCGTGGCTAAGAACACAATCAACAGCCTTGAATGTGAGTCTTTTTGTTTTGTCCTTTTTTTTTGGCCTTTCTTTCATTCCAGAGTGGTGGCTAACTTAGAAAAGGGAGCTATTTGGCCCCCAAAACGTATGAATGTGCTAGCCCCTTGGGGAATCCCCTTCTAAGAAAAGCAAATTAAAAAGTGAAAAAAAGAGAACAAAGGGACAGTAGGTGGATCCTCTTCTAAGAAAAACAAATTAAAAAGTGAAAAAAAGAGAAAAAGGGACAGTATGGTAGCCAGATTGCCCAAGTTCATTTACATGGCCTTGAGCAACCAGACATTTTGTTACGGACTCCGCCAGGGCTCAATCCCTGGGGCCTGGACCCACTCGCGAAGTATTCTATGACGTGTGACACAGTTTTATGGTTTTTTTTTTCTGATTTAAAATGGATTGAAATAGCACATAAAACTATGAAGAACAGCTGTGCACCCGAATTCATGGGTTGGTACGATCTCCTTCACGTAAGTCTTCATAGTGATGT